GAACGGGGGCTGGCAGGGCCGGGTTGAAGTTCTCGGCGCTGTACTTATGGCCCCAGCCGATATAGATGTTCTCGTACTTTCTGGAGGGGCGATGAGACAGTGTGAAACTCTTCACAAAGCTGTCATCCTGGACCTTCACTAAGGGTGGACCTCGTGTGGTCACAGAACCGCAGTCGCGGGTATGGGTGGCAGGGTGCGCTGTGCCCCTGGGTTTCTCTGCCCACTCAGCCCATACTTAGCGAGCACCTACTCTGTGCCAGGCTGTGTCTGCAGACATGCTGCCCAACAGCAAGTGTGGCTACTTAGCAAAGAAAATTTAAATTTAATTAAAAATTTGCCGGAGGACACCTGCATCACCTAAAAGACAAACAGAGATGGGTCAACCCTATGGCCTTATAGTTAAGAGAGCTAGATCCCACATGGCCAATTGAGTAGTTCAAATCCCGGCCCTGGCTGTTGGAAAGACATGCCGGGTGTGTCCCAAGTCCCGAATAAATGGAGAAGGGATTGCAGTGTGACCGTGCCCCCGTGGATGTTCTCTCGGTCTCTTTTTCTCTGTCTCTCTGGCGAGTGCACTCACCCTCTAGCAACAAAAACAAAAAGCAGAGAAAAGAAAGAGCCACCAAATGGCATGGAGGTTAAGGTGCTGGATTCCACATGGAAGACTAAGTGGTTCCAGTCTTGGATCTGGAGGCTTGAAAAATGCACAGCATGGCGTGGTGGTTAAGGAGCTGGACTCACATGTGGCCAGCCGTGACTCGAGCCCTGGACATGGCAGCTTGAAAATCATCCTAGCACTGTGCATGTGTACCCAAAATCCCAGGAGGAGAATGGAAGAGCAGGGATGACGACGTGGCCATCCTCACCAGGGAGTGATTTCTCACTTTCCCTCTTACTGTCTCTCTCTGGCAAGCTCACATGCTCTATGGCAAAAACCTTAAAGAAAAATAATAATTTTAAAAAGTGGAAACCAGCAGTTAGCGTAATGGCTATGTCGCTGGACTCCCACATAGTCGACCGCGGTTCACGTCCCGGACCCGGTGGCTTAAAACTTACAGGGCGTGTGTGCGTGTGTGCCCAAGATCCCGAGGGGAGAATGGAGGAGAAGGGATTGAGGCATGGCCATCCCCCCTGGGGGGGTGATTTCTCGCTTTCTGTCTCTATGTCTCTCTCCGTCTGTCTGGCGAGCGCATGCGCCCTATAGCGAAAACCT